TGTATAGGTTTTAGTATTTATACATTTGTGTGTATAGGTTTTAGTATAAATTTGTGTGTATAGGTTTGAGTATAAATTTGTGTGTATAGGTTTTAGTATTTATACATTTGTGTGTATAGGTTTTAGTATAAATTTGTGTGTATAGGTTTGAGTATAAATTTGTGTGTATAGGTTTTAGTATTTATACATTTGTGTGTATAGGTTTTAGTATTTATACATTTGCAAGTTTCATGAGTGTGTAATTACATGTTGTGTGTGTGTTTATGAGTGTATACTTCCATGTTGTGTGTGTGTTTATGAGTGTATACTTCCATGTTGTGTGTGTGTTTATGAGTGTGTACTTCCATGTTGTGTGTGTGTGTTTATGAGTGTGTACTTACGTGTTGTTTGTGTGTGTTTCAGGAGGTCCATCGGCTGAGCAAAGAAAGCCTGAGAGCTGAACTGGAGAGCAAGTGGGAGGGGGAGAGAGGGAGTCTGGTGGCTCAACATACACACACTGTGGACTGTCTGAGGTGAGGAGGGGGGAGGGAGGGAGGCGTGGTCTGTCTGTGTGTCCAGGCAGGTAGTGTGTGTTCAACAGTGTGTCTGTTTGTGTGTCCAGGCAGGTAGTGTGTGTTCAACAGTGTGTCTGTCTGTGTGTCCAGGCAGGTAGTGTGTGATCAACAGTGTGTCTGTCTGTGTGTCCAGGCAGGTAGTGTGTGTTCAACAGTGTGTCTGTCTGTGTGTTCAGGCAGGTAGTGTGTGTTCAACAGTGTGTCTGTCTGTGTGTTCAACAGTGTGTCTGTCTGTGTGTTCAACAGTGTGTCTGTCTGTGTGTTCAACAGTGTCTGTTTGTGTGTTCAACAGTGTCTGTTTATCTGTGTGTTCAACAGTGTGTCTGTTTGTCTGTGTGTTCAACAGTGTGTCTGTTTGTCTATGTGTTCAACAGTGTATCTGTTTGTCTGTGTGTTCACCAGTGTGTCTGTCTGTGTGCTCAACAGTGTGTCTGTCTGTCAATGTGCCCAACAGTGTGTCTGTCTGTGTGTCCAGGCAGGTAGTGTGTGTTCAACAGTGTGTCTGTCTGTCTGTGTGCCCAACAGTGTGTCTGTCTGTGTGTCCAGGCAGGTAGTGTGTGTTCAACAGTGTGTCTGTCTGTTTGTGTGCCCAACAGTGTGTCTGTTTGTCTGTGTGCCCAACAGTGTGTCTGTCTGTGTGTCCAGGTAGGTAGCGTGTGTTCAACAGTGTGTCTGTCTGTGTGTCCAGGCAGGAATTGGAATCAGCCCACGCTGAGCTGGACAAGGTCAAGGCCGCCTACGTCCAGACGTGCCAGGACTCCGCTGTCTCCGAGGCTGACCTTCGCCGTGACCTTGAGGGACAGAAGGTCAAACTACAG